CGCCTCCCGGCTGCAGCAGTTTCGTTTCCTCGCCGCGCTCGCCTCTCAGCTCTGGCTCAACTCCACAATTTCGTTTCCCGGCTGCACACGCCTCGCAGCTGTTTTGTAAGCCAAAAATTGCAGCGAGGGAGGAGGACGGGGGGCTCAAGGGACACGGGGCCGGGAGGATGCAGTGATGGATCGTTTTGGGGGACCTGGGGCCATGGCTATGGGGCAGCAACAGGGGGATATGGCTACAGGGCCATGGGGATTTGGCAATGGTATGGGGACGCGGCTGTGGAGCAAGGACCATCAGGCCACAGCAATGGGGATGTGGCAATGGGGTGGGGGCTATTGGGTGATACGAGCATGGCTACAGCATGGCGGGGGCCATGTGGGCACGGCTATGGGTTGGGGACCATGGCAACAGGGCAGGGGAGACATGGGGATATGGCAATGGGTCAGAGCGAAATGGGAATATGGCTATGGGGGGCAGAGCACCTTCAGACCATGGCTATGGGGCTGGGGCCATGGAGCCATGGCCATGAGGTAAAGGCCTTGGGGCCATGGCTATGGGCGTGGCCATAGGGCTATGGCTATGGGGCAGGAGTTGGGGTCCTTTGGGGTATGGCAGTGGAGCAGGTGGCCATGGGGTCATGGCAATGGGGTGGGAGCCATGAGTGTAGAACTATGGGGTGATGGAGATGCATGGGACATAGCTATGGGGTGGGATTGCTGTGAGCAGGGGCACATCATTATGGCATGTGGGGACACAGAGCCATAGCTGTGGAGTGGAATTGCTATGGGTCAGGGAGACATTGGGATGTGGCTGTATGGTGGGGGCGTGGAGGACATGGCAGTGGAGTGGAGAGAACATGGAGACATGGAGATGGGGTAGGGAGGATGTGGAGCATGTATGTGGGGTGATGGGTACATGTGGGACATAGCTATGGAGTGGGGAGGACTTGCGACATGTCTGAGGGATGGGATTGCTGTGGGGTGGGGAAGACACAGCCATGGGCTGAAGGGCTGTGGTGGGATTGATAAGAGGGAAAGCTTAGCAGGTGTCTCTCTGGTTTCACCTGCCCCTGGTCAAAAGGAGACTCTGGGTGACCATGAGCCCACCTGGCTCCTTCAAAAAGGTCACTTCTTAGAGGGATGTCCCTGCCTGGTGGACTTGGTAGATCCCATTCCGCATGTCCCCATGGACAGGCAGCCTAGGACATCCCCCAATCACAAGAACTGTGTGGGGACAGAGCGAATGGGAGGATACAAGGACCTGGAGGGCACTGATAAAGGCATGTCCAGGGCCATAGGCACGGGGGAACAAAGGACATGAACTGTCGCTGTCCTGCAGAGTCCTTGAGCCCAGAGGTGGTCAGGGACAGAGGCCCTGCTGAGGTATGGGGCCAGCAAGGACTCACGTTGTGGACTCAGCTGGTCACACAGCTGGACCTATGGCAACCCATAGGGGTTTCTGGGGTGAGGTAGGACCAGGACATGCGTCCAGGTAGGGAATGTGGGATAATACATTTGTCAAGAGTGGGGAGGGACCAAGATGTATCTGGGGGCAACACATGGGAGCCAGACATGCATCCAGGAAGATGTGGGACCAGAGTGTGTGTTTGTGGAAGGCAGCTATCTCAGACCAGGGCCTCACAGACCCTCTTCATCCATCCATCCATCCATCCATCCATCCATCCATCCATCCATCCACCCACCCACCCACCTCTCTGTCTCTTACTATCTCACTACAGGGTACAGGGGGACAAGGCTGGGACTGGGAAAGCCATGAGCATTGGTTACATGTGCTAGTGCTGGGATGTGGTGTTCCTCCTCTGCAAGGACGGAGATGGGGGCCACCAACAGTGCCAGGACCCACCAGCCAGCCAGGTGGACAGTGGGCCATGTGCCTGCTGCTGCACCAGAAGGACGGAGTCAGCTGTCCCACTGGAGCCCAATGGCCTCTAGAACTGGTGGATGTTACATCATGTGATAAAAAGCTCATCCACAGGTACACAGAGCACGGACAAACCATGGCAGGTGAAGGTATAACTGCTCAGCAATGGTAATCGGTGACCAAGGAATGATCTGGCATGGAAGGTGAGGATGCCCAGCTGCAGGAAGGGTTAAAGTGGCTGGGAATGCCAGGGACATTGACTCTTGCCAGGGAGTGGAATTTCCCTCGATGATGAGGCAAGAAGTGCAGCAGCCTTGTCTTGTACGAGCTGAGAGACCACCTGTGGCCAGTAGAGCTGGTGCTGGGGGACGCACCCGTGCTCACAGCACCGGTGTGTCGGTGCTGCTGCAAGTGTGTATAAGGAATTGGCTCGTGCCCCATCTTTTTGGACTCCTTGGAGAAC